TTTTTTTTTTTTTTTTGAGAACACTGCATTTGCCAGTTAAAAACTATCACAACCCGTTTTTTTACAATCTGTGAGAATGATGAAATGATACCAAATCAGAGAGGAACAGGAGCTGCCTGGCAACTGTTTGTTGCAGAGATGATGTGCGGGCTCCAAGGTTCCTGTGGCTTCACCTCCACCTGGGACCCGAGGCCAGGTTCTGTGATGGTATGGTTTCCATGGCACAGTTTCCACTTGCCGTCCTGTTGGGGGTGATGCCATTTGAGGGCTTACATCCACATATCCAGGGAGCTGGTGTGGCACCACCTGAGGAAAAACAGTTCTGAAGCAGTCGGCTGCTCTGCCTGTCCCAGAAGGTGACGGCAGGATGGGCCATGTAGGCCGCCTCCTTTCTCACCGCGCCCGGGGATGGCTGCAGCCTGGTCCAGGTGCTGGCCCATCCAGAGGTCATTCCAGTGCACGCTTCAGATTTTCATCCCTCTACTGTTTCCTGTCGGCATTTCTCCTGGTCAGAGCCTATGCCATTTCCTGTTAATATCTGCTTTTTAAAGACATCAGTCTTAATTCTTCTCTCTGTATGGTAATACTTTAAAAATTGCATATGTTAATATTTCTAATTTATTTTACTTAAAACATTCTATGATTGTTTTGAGGTGCTTTGTTTTTATCACAGTATTAACAACTTAAGTATTTTAGTGCTATTTTAAAATGGAAGGTGCTATTGCTACTACTTTGTATTTAGTCATGTTTAGGAGCCCATTTAAAGGGAATGTGCCATCTGTAATGCTGTCACTTTGGGGAGCTCTGGCAGCTGGGAAGTGGGACCTGGTTGTGAGGTGGCAGGAGGATCTGCTGTGCTTCTGTTGAGACTAAGTTTGTTAAGCAGCTCCCACGTCAAGAGCTTTTGGCTCTGAGCACTCTGAATTGTTAGTGGCACATGTAAAATGTGTCAAAGGATGTGTAATGGTGGGGTTGAGGCAGGTGTCCTGCCCGGAGGCTCTGGTTTTGATACTGGAGTCAAGAGCCAGAGCTATAATTTTCCATTCATTTATTCATGGACCAAGCAGTCTGTGCAGCACAGTACAAAGGAGTTGTGCTCATTGAGCTTACTGTCTTTGGTCTTTAATTAAATATAAATGTGGTCTCTTAGAACATTTTAAAATTGGTCTGGAGTCCACACAAATCTGCCTCAAACTCAATAAACCCAAAAAGGTCATGAGTAGGTTCAAACAACTGAGAAATTCCAGGGGCAGAACTGGTTTCAAGCCCAGTGGATCCAGAGCTGTGTGCTCAGGAGTCCTCCTTTCCCACGCCTGGCTCTGGGTCCCGGCTGTTGTCCCCTTTCTCAGTCACACCAGCAAGGTGAGCCCTGTCATTGACCTGACTTGGCTCCGGGGATCATCCCTGGACCACCTGTGGCCAGGGGAGGCGGCACAGTCATTGGTCAAACCTGAGTCACATGTTAGGGGTGGAGTCAGCTCTGCACCAATGAAATGGTTGTAGGGGGTGGTTCCTGGAGGATTCAGGATCCCATTGCCAGAGGATGGGGAATAGACCCCCGACCAGAAATCAGCTGTCCACTGGAGCTGCTGTTCTTACCACAGACGAGAAATTAAAAGATCTCAACAAGGAATTCTCAGAAGGTTTCTTTGGGAAAAGGTTTTGTGTGCTCTGAGTTTCTGTAGCTTTCCTGGTTTTTGGCAAACCTAATAATAAACTTCAGCATAAATTCGTCTATATTTAATGACTTCTATGATTTGTTTTTGAAAAATCTTGACAGCGTAGCGGTGTTTTCTGTTTCTATAAGAGATCTGTGGGATAAAAGTTTTGTTTTTTTCTCTCTTTCCTGTTGAACAAGGGTAAGTTAGAAATGTCAGGGGGTGCGGAAGCACAAGAGATAGGTTTTCAAATTTGAGTCTGAACCCAGTGACCTCTGAGAACTTCGTGGTCAGCTTTTCCAGAATTAATTATTAAGGGTATGTGTTGTCCTTGCTAATCCTAGTTTTAAGTTTCTGTGTTTTACATATTCACTGGCAGGTGGCTTAAACCCAGAGCCTCCTTGTGGGATGCAGTGAATGGGTTGCTGGTGTGGGGACCTGCCAGTGTGCTCAGCTCTGCCCGCGTGGGGTGGGGCCATGGCTGGGCGGAGTCTTAACTGTGCCCCAGCCTTGGGCACCTGCTGCTTTGACTGGCATGTGTGGTGTGACTATTGGTACTTACACAGCATGGAAAAGGAAGGTGGGGTACATCCTAAAATTTTTACATAGTATTTGGTCTCTTAAATAGGAGAATGAAAGATAAAGGAGTTTCGGTCGTGGATAAGGTAGCTCTTTGCATTTCATGGATGCATTGCTCATTTTTTAGTTAGGGATTGGGCATCGATCTAAATTTTCCATTCTTGGATCAGTTTGGGGAATTTGTGTTTTGCCAGAAAATCATTAGTTTCCTCCGTGCTTTCAAATCTGTTTCCATAGAGTTGCTTGTGGTATAATTCTTTTATACTTATACATTGACCCTTGAACAACACGGGTTTGAACTACACAGGTCCACTTATATGAGATTTTTTTTTTTTTTTTTTCAGTAAAACCTGTATTGTTTCTGATCTGTGGACGGGAGTCGCCTGGGTGTGGAGGGCCAACTGTATGCATTTTACATAGGGGACTTGAGCATTATGGATTTTGGTATCTGTAGGGGGGCGTGGAACCAATTTAAGTTTTGGGGGAGTCAGAAGTGTATTTTTGACTGTTCAAGGGTTAGGCACTCCTAACCCCCATGATGTTCAAGTGATTATTTTTCAGTTATTTTTAATTAAAATATTGCATTTTTATGACCCCTGTGTGTGTGGTCATGTCTCCTTTCTCTCTTCTAAGCTTGTATAATATTATTATTTCTTTTCCCCTTTCAGGCTTAGAAAGGAGTGTATCTACCTTTTGGGTTTACCTGTCCCTATTGCATTACTTTCGCCTTCATCTTGATTCATTCCTTCTCTCCTGGGGTTTTTTTTGGTACTTTATCTAATTCCTTAAAGTACTTAGTTCCTGATTATATTTCTAGAAACTACACAGTCCACTAGTTTGGAGCTGGGTCCTGGGCAGGGCATGGCTCTTCCTTCTGTGATCGGCTGCTGCAAATTAACACTGTAGAAGGGAAAGTGAGTGTCATGGGCACCCCTACTGGGAATTCACACAGCCCTGTGCTAACCATTCGTCATTCTTAAGCGCTCAGGTTTTGTTGAGTGTTCTGTGAGCAGCAGAATTATCAGGAAAACTTAGAGACTGTGCAGAAGCCCAGTGCAGTGAGCAAATACCATTTCAGCAGAGAGATATTAGGCAAGAAGTTGTATTCGTATCTCAGCTGTCACTTTTTCAGTTTCCAGGAAAGGGTTTGACAATGGCCTAAATCATATAGGGGGTAACTATAAACATATAATTCAGAATTGTCTGTGGTCTTGTCAGTCAACACAGTAATTCTAAGTGAAATAGGTGAGATGCAGTCATCTCTTCTCTTTCTGAGAGCCATGGGCAGACCGTGGTCTGTTCTGTGCAGGGGACATCTGACCGTCATGACCCCTTTTGTTTGTCACTCCCTAAGCTGTCGTTGTGCTTCCTCAATTATGAAGCTGCCCTGGGAACAAATAGCATGTTGTCCAGTGAGGGGAGGAAAGCAAGCTGCCATCAGGGGAAACTACCTGCTCTCAGGAGACCCCTACATGTTCCTCTCAGGGCCTGTAAGAGCCCACTGGAGGGTCCTTATACTGTTTAGCTGGATGGAATTTTAACATTTGCTAACTGAATTGCAGTTATTTTTTATACTTTGGTGAAAACTAAGGGAAATCAGCTATATTTTACCTTTATTACCATCATTTTTTTCAGAAGAAGTAGAGTTGTTCTTTCATTCTTATGCCAGTGAGTAAGATTCCCAGACTGCCATAGATTGGGAAAATATATAATGGAAATTATTTTGTTTTATTAAATATAGAATTTGAAAAAATTATTTGTAATTAAAGAGAAGAGTTGATGAAGTCTAGTTTCTGCCAACCTCAGAGGTAAATTGCAGTGTTAAATTCTACTCCTTTATTTGACCCTGAACATTTGTTGTGTTGCAAGAGGCACAGTGAGCTAGAAAGTTGCCCTCGTTCAGACACCACATTCTTGAGACCCCTGCCCCCTTTACGGGGATCTCTGAGAGTTTATTACAGGAGAGCATTCTGAAAACTCATTTGTTAACACCTGGTATTGACCATTTTGCTGATGGACATTTTGAGTTTACCTGTTATAAAAGAAACTATAGTAATACTCTAGCAATTGTATGCTTACTGCGTCACTCTTAAGATAGCTGGTTGAAATGCTGCCTGATTACCTGGGTAAGCCAGGCTACATTAAGTAGGTAACGTGATACAGAGGTGAAGGGCATAGCTCCCAGGTAGCGGAGCTTGAAGTTAGTCGTGGAGAGCTGAGTTACCCAGGAGTTCAGAGTACAAGGCAACAACTCTGGTCGGCATAGACAAGGAGCAGTGGGGCCCAGAGGAAGCACCCTGCCAGAGGGGTACCGGGGCCTGCTGGACCGTGTGCTGAGAAGTCCATCAGCCAAGCAGGGCAGTGTCTGCAGAAGGAGCAGATGAGCCGCAGTGCAGGCGCGAAACCTTGTGACGTTCGCGGGAATTGGAGGTGGGCAGAGGAGGGAAGGACAGGTAAGCACATATGGAGAATGTGTTGAACTTGAGCTGTAATAATTGCTAATGCTGTTTTCTGTTTTCTCAATTCAGGTGAAGGAGGTGCTCATGGCCGGACGTCTTAAGGAATACTTTTGAAAAGAACGGAGGTGAACAAAATCATTACAGCTAAGACTACGCTGGGTTTGGAGAAACCGTACTCTGAGGATGTTGTTTGCTTTTGGTTAACGAAGGGAAATACAGCTTTAGAAGAAGGCTTTATCTCTGCGTTTAAATCCCCGGTGTGACTAACAATGTAACTGGGTCTGCATCAGCCTTCTGCTGAGGCGCGGCGCCCTGACCGAGGCCGACATGAGTGACCCGAGGCAGGTACAGGACGAGAAGCACAAGCTCGGCAGGGCCCCTGCCAAGTTCAAGGATCCCCCCAGAGCCATGCAGTCCGATGATTATTTTGCTAGAAAATTTAAAGCCATTAATGGCAGCATGGGACCTGCCACTTCTTTAAATGCCTCAAATTCCAGCGAGAGTGGTGGTCCAGCCAATGGTACCCCCGCTGTGCCCAAGATGGGTGTGAGGGCCAGGGTGTCCGAGTGGCCTCCGAAAAAGGACTGCTCCAAGGAGCTGGCCTGCAAGACACCATGGGGAAGCCAGTCTCAGGCCAGCTATGACAGTGTCACCTCCGTCATGCACAATGGACAGAGTGACCAGAGCGACGGTCACCCGGAGGAGCAGCTCGACCTCGACTTCGTGGAGGCGAAGTACACAATCGGAGACATCTTCGTTCACTCCCCTCAAAGAGGACTGCACCCCATAAGGCAGAGAAGCAATAGCGACGTCACCATCAGCGACATCGACGCTGAGGACGTCTTAGACCAAAATGCCGTGAACCCTAACACGGGGGCCGCGCTACACCGGGAGTACGGGAGCACGTCGTCCATCGACCGGCAGGGCCTGTCTGGTGAGAACTTCTTTGCGATGCTCAGAGGGTACCGCGTGGACAGTTACGACCACAAGGCGATGGCGCCCTTTGGGTTCCCGGAGCTCTTCTCCTGCGACCCTGCCGTCTCGCCCAGCCTCCACGCCGCCGCCCAGATCTCTCGAGGAGAATTCGTCCGCATCTCAGGATTGGATTACATGGACAGCGCCCTCCTCATGGGCAGGGACAGGGACAAGCCTTTCAAGCGGAGGTTGAAGTCGGAGTTGGTGGAAACGTCCCTCTTCCGAAAGCTGCGAACTGTGAAGAGTGAACACGAGACTTTCAGGTTCACGTCCGACCTGGAGGACGGCCGTCTCGAGCGGGGCGCACGCCCCTGGAACTGCCAGCGGTGTTTTGCACATTATGACGTCCAGAGCATTTTGTTTAATATCAACGAAGCCATGGCCACGAGGGCCAGCGTGGGGAAAAGGAAGAACATGACCACCGGGGCCTCCGCCGCGTCCCAGACTCAGATGCTCGCGGGCCAGACGGGCAGCTGCGAGTCCCCGCTGGGGAGCAAGGAGGACCTCAACTCCAAGGAGAGCCTGGATGCCGATGAGGGTGACGGGAAGAGTAACGAGCTCGTGCTGAGTTGCCCTTACTTTAGAAACGAGACCGGGGGCGAAGGGGACCGGAGGATCGCCCTTTCGAGGGCCAACTCGTCCTCTCTCAGCTCCGGGGAGAGCTGCTCCTTTGAGTCATCACTCAGCTCTCACTGCACAAACGCGGGCGTGTCTGTCCTGGAAGTGCCCAGAGAGAACCAGCCGATTCACAGGGAGAAGGTGAAGCGCTACATCATCGAGCACATTGACCTTGGGGCCTACTATTACCGCAAGTTCTTCTACGGGAAAGGTAAGAGGCCCTGCCTGTGTGCGTGTCCCAGCGGGGATTCTTTAGGGCCCATTGTAAGTTCTGTTTGGTGACCCAGCACCTTCCATGTAGTGTCCAAGGCCACTGTCCACGGGGTTGGTTCTCCATCGCTCCAGACCAGTCCCTTCTTTAGAAATCCCCAGTGCCCTGCCTTTGCTGATTTGTAATCCCCAATGTGGAAATGCCTTCTCCTTTCTCTCTCTCGGCCAGTTTGTGAGCATCATAGCGTCAGACTTGATGGGGAGTTACTCTGTTTTAGACGACTTCCCTGGTTAACTCTGTCCCTCTCTAATTCCTCTGAATGATCTCTTACACTGTTGTTTATAGTGGGTAATTCTGTGGTTTTTCCTCTAGCCTTTCCAGTACTTTTCCCTACACCTATGCTTCATCTTTTCAATTGTATGTCTCCACAGCTCTTTCTGCACTGTTGGCTGTATAGGAAGTTAAATAAATCTTTGTTGAAAGAATGTATAATTAGCATGATAGGCAAATTTAGTTTCTAGTTCTATAAATGGGCTTAAAGGGTTAGATACAAGTAAGTCTTTGGTGGTGCGATTTGAGAAATTCTTTAATCACTCGTAAATTATGTTTAGTTTTATTTATATCTTCCGGCTCGAAGGATACATTCCTCAGAAGTCATGTAGTTATATCCTCAAATTGTAGTTTAAATCCTTTAAATAAGTGACCTCAGTTATTTTGGGGATATGAGAAACCCCTCTGCTCGAGAGACCTGTGGAGAATCTGGCCCCCCCCCACACAATGGCAGTAACACGTAAAAGGGAAGCACTCAGGGTGGCTGTCTGTGCCTTTTTTGGGTGCAGTTCACCTCCTTTGCCCCCTCCTTACAGGACAGCATACTTTCCACGCCTGTATTTTCCTGTTCCCAGTTTCACCTGCCCCATTCCCAGGTGTTACCTGTTGGAGCACCTGAGGAAGCCAATGGGAGCCTGTTCATCTCTGCATCTCCCTTCTGTACCTTCGAGAAGAAACTCTGGCTTCGTGGACAGTTGCAAGCCATCTGTACTCTGAATTTATTTAGTCTTGGTTTCTGTCTTCTGATGGCTGCTGTGCAGTGTTTGACTCCAGTTGTTTCTTTTTTGGAGGTCGGTTGGGGGTGTAACTTGTACCTTAGGAGGTCACTCCTTCCATCCACTCAGTCCCTGGAGCCTTTTTCATGTTTTTCCCATGGATTGCAGGCTCAAAAGCATTTGTTTTCCAGATAAATACAATTATTAAATTAATGGTTTCCCCCCATTTTTGCATCAGTCCAGATTTAACCAGTCACCCATGATCACAATGACATGAAGTCATATGAGTCAGTGGAACAATGATGATGTTGGGTGGGCGGCGGCTAAGTGAACTGGCACTGACATCGCAGCTGGTCATGAAGTTTCTCCTGCTCTCATACTGATGACACAGTGGGACTGAAATAGTTTAGTTTTGTCAACAGATCTCAGTGCCCCAGTTGGGTGGCCCCTGACCCCCTCCTCAGTCCTGGCTTCTGGTGTGCATCAGTGTTACCACTGTGAGTTACTGCCTTCCAGCCCGTGAGCTCAGAGGGCGTCGGACCTCCTCCTGTGCCGGGCAGTAACTCATGGCCCATGTGACCGTGCTCCTTCAGGGGCAGCACATTAAAAACACAACTCGGGCAGGGCTCTAGGTGGGAGTGAGTTATTTATGGAAAGGGAGATCACGGAGAGAAACAGGCCTCCAAACTACTGTTTTTTTAATTGATGAAGCTGTGGCTGTCAATGGCAGCAATAAAACCGTCTCCTAGAATTATTATGCCCTGAAACCTCAGGCAGTGAGTCATTCTGGTGGGCTGAGTTTTGTGAATAGTTTGTGATGGACCCTTGAAAATACCCAAACGTAAAAATTTTATACGTGTGTGTGTGTATGCCTATTTATGCAAATACTTAGTGCCAGCATCTCCTTTGTGCTCTGTTGTGTATCTTAGTGTGTTACGTATACACTTAAGTACATATGGATGAAAACCTCATGTTTATTGCACCCAGGGCCCCCACCTTTTGATCAGTTACTTTCTTTAGGGTCTGTCCCATGAGAAGATTTTTAGATTGCTAGATTCTATTGGTTCTCTTCTGGCAGTTTTAGAGAGCCATTCTGTGTTATTTTCTCCATTGCTGCTGATTTACTACTTAGGATTTTCCAGGACATTAGAAATGACATCATCAAATGTATGATGATGTCACATGAACTAGCACATGAGGTCCCAAGAAGCACCTGGGAGTAGACGCCTGTGGGTGAATCGTGGGGGGTGCAGACATGTGGTGTGACAGATGGGGGGCACCAGCTCACTCTGTGGGTCTGTGGATGAGTCAGACAGCTGAATTCTAGACTTTTCTGCAAAGCCTGCAAACCGATAGTGTGAAGCAGTGATCCCCGAGGTCACTGTGTCACCAGTGTTCCTCGATCCAGTGCGGGGAGGGTGCTGTGGTGCCAGCCGATGGGATTTGAGGCAAGGATGGAGGGGCCAGGAGGGGACAGAAGAGGCTGAGCTCAGCCCTGTCCCTCTGTTCTCCTCCTGCATTGGGAACTGTGCCCGCTCTCTCCTATATTTAGCTCTTCCCTTCCCCTGTGGGCCTGTGTGACTTCTAATAGCATCTGCCACTGTGCCCGCTGGTCTCTCTGTGGAGCCTTAAGGACTGAAGGCAGAGGCAGCAGCCAGAGCCCCAAGGTCAGGTGGCTGAGGCCTGTGCTGTGGGGATGGGTGCCAGTCACACCCTGGTGGCACCCACTTTATTTACAGACACAGCACAAGTTGCAGGAGCATCACTGGCTTCAAAACAGAGGTCCTGGGCTGATGGCACAGGTAGGGTGTTTGTGCAGGTAGCTTTTCCTCTCCCTTTTTCGCTTTTCCCTTTACTCCTTTTCACTCTTTGGAAGGAAGGAGGCATACAGGAAATCTTGTGATACTTCCAGAATGCCCTTTGTTTTGTGCGAAACTTCATTTCACGAGAATCAAGCAGCTTCCACTCGCTGGGAAAGCCTAAAGTACAGAGCGGTAATGATGCGGCTCCCTCTTTACAGGGCAGTTAAAATGAAACGCTGTTCTTCCCGCCAGGTGTGTTCCTATGACACATAGTCACTGAACCGCTTTTAAAAACTTCCCAAGGATGTGCGCAGGGGCGTGGCCTGCCACGGAAAATCGCGTGGCAGTGTCGCCTGTCCAGGCAGGCCCATGGGTAGCCTTCAAAGCAGCTTTTAGAGCGGGCACTGTAGCCAACACAGTGGGTGCACGGTGGGTGCAATGGTGCTCCTCACTGCTGGCTGTGACCACGAAGGAAATGGGGGCCGTTTGTCACGCTGCTGTTTCCCTGATGGAAGTCCAAGTGCAACCACACTTCCCCCTTCTCCGCGCTTCCCATTTGGGAGACAGGCGTGCTGAGGGGCCCAACCTTAGCCAGGTTCCTGGTCTACACACCTCTTTGCACACTGCACTGCCCCTGTAGCACAGCAGCAGGCCTGGCCTTTTGGGCCTCTTTTGCACTTAGAGCTGCTGAAAGTTGTTGGCCCAGCATCTGGCCAGAGCCGAAACTAGCTGGGACAGCTAAGATGCTGTAGGTCGGTCATTGAGTGGTGAGTAAGTCTCGTACTTTCTAGGAAATTGTGCACCTACGGTTACTCAGGAGTTCTAATACTTGAGACCACAAAGACAAGAATAGCTCTAGGGACAAAGCAAGCAATTTTGGGTTAAGCGTGGTCAAACCAGACTGAAGGAGAAAGCTGGGCCTCTTGGGTAACGGGTGGAGTGAGCAGTGGCTAAGCCACCTGAGCCTTCAGGTGCGTGGTCTTATGAGAGCTGCTCTGCTGGTCCATGAATGTGGGGGCAAAAATACTGAAATTGACAATATATACCTTTTTTTGTTTAGAATTTTTAAACAGCATATAAGCATTATATGATCATGATAGGTAAAGACCGTGGAGAAGCAAAAAGAAAGAAAGAAAATTCCCCCAACGCAGAAGATATAATCAACATGGACAGTTTCTCGTCTGATTTTATGCCATGGGCTTTTCTGATGCAAATAGACTTATGGAAATGGAACCTTCTGTTGCTCTTGCTTTGAAACCTGTCTTTGTGCGTGATCACCTTCCATGTCACGTGTTGAGCTGCATCAGTGATTTAAGAGCCGTTAATATCAGCGATCACAATGTGTCCTGGGTGCACTGGAGGTGCCAGGCGCACGCGCCAGCCTCCATCTGGGCAGAGAGGTTATGACTGTTTACTTCATTTCAGAGAAAAACCTGTCGACTGGAAGAAGCACAGTGATAGAGGGACATATATTTCTTACCCTCTTAGGTGCAGGATACCTGAGAAACGACGCATGTCAAATATATTAGTGAGTGTTCATTTTAACAAACAGATCTTTACTTGAAAAGTAAATTATTATAGAAATTTTTTAATTTCAAAAAATGCGAAACATTATAAAAATGTAAGTCATAGCCTCTCCCTTCTCCACTAGAAGGTGGGCAGTGCTCAGTGACTCACCTCCACCGGGTGGAGTCTGGAAAGAGGCAGTAACTGCAGTGAGGAGCCTCGTGAGCAAGGTCAGCATCGGCAGTTGGAAGTCACCAGATCGGTCTGTACCCCTGCTAAGATGGCAGTGGCATTTCTGTGGTCTTCCTCTCCAAACCCATAACCTCAGTTGGATTAGGGAAGGAAGTTAGAGAAATTCCAGCTGAGAGGCCATTCTACAAAATCCCTGACCAGTCCTCAGAACTGCCAAGGTCACCAGAAACAAGGGAGGCCTGAGAAGCTGGCACACTGTAGCCTAAGAGACGCGATGACTGAATGTCATGTGCTGTCCTGATGGAATCCTGGGAGAGGGAGGACATTATGGAAAAGCTACAGAACCCAAATAAAGTATGAGCTTCAGTTAATAATAATGTCTGAGTATCAGTTCATTAATTGAACAGATGTGCTAGAGGAATGTGAGATGTTAACCACTAGAAAACTGGGCCAG